GGCCCAATAAACGACGGGCCATGGGGGGGTCAGCAGCACAGGAGAAGATGTGGTTCTGCCCTATATTTCCCTGGGGTAAGCAGGCCACTAAGTGGTAGCCTCTTCTGGCAAAACCAGGCTTTCTGATAGTCCAGAAGCTTGTTTGCCTCCTTTGTTCTTTGCAGCAAAGCAGTGGGTGGGTCTCTGGGGTGCAGGTCTGACTGTAGGCACATAAAGGCCTCCATCTCCACAAACATTAATCAAATAAGAACTGTAGCTGTGGATAGCTACTTTCACACTCACTGGAGAGACAAACACTTTCAGAAAGCAGTATAGGTCTCAGAGGTGCTGCAACAGCCTCTGGAAGCACTATCTTCTCCACTGATTATGTCACTGTTGGACTCTGTATTTAGGGGTCTCGGATATTTACTTGAAGTTGGGAAATATAAAATTTAGGCCACAGCAACTGCAGAATTTTCATCAGAATAAGCTAGTTGAGATAGATCTATACATGATACGATATACCATATATATAAAAGAAACAGGTTGGCAACTGAATGCAGTTCCACCAAGGGGATGAAAAATCATAGAATCATAGAATTTTAGGGGTTGGAAGGGACCTTATAGATCATCTAGTCCCAATTGTCCCTGCCATGGGCAGGGACACCTCCCCACAAGACCAGGATGCTCAAGGCTTTATCCAATCTGGCTTTGAACATTGCCAGGGTTGGGGCAGCCACCACGGCCCTGGGTAACCTGAACCTGTTCCAGTATCTCACCAATTTCAGAAAGGTATTTCAGCTAACACCCCAGGGAATCATCATGAAAAATGCAACAGGTGATACCTCCAGAGCAGGGACACAACAGATCCCTTGCAATACACGCTATATCCAGCTTTGGATAATGGTTTAAACGCAGTTTCTATTGATTGTCTTGCAATGGTTATAAAAAGTAAAAAATTAAATTAAATGCTGTCGTGGTTTAACCTCAGTCAGCAACCAAGAACCACGCAACCGGTCACACTTCCTCCTCCCCCCTCTTCCCCCCCAACCCGGAGGAATGGGGAGGAGAAAAATAATAAAGAGCAGAATGAGCTAAAATGCTAATGGTTAATAAAAAGAACAAAATCAGTGATGCACAATACAGTTGCTCACCACTCGCGGACTGGTGCAACCCTGAACCTCCCCCCGGATCAGCTCCCTTTCCTGCTTATATACTGGGCATGATGTGCCATGGTGTACAATATCCTTTTGGCTAG